GGCTTCGTGGGTCAACCTGACCATGGGACAAGGCACCCGCGAAAAGGTATTCGCTATCATACTTGGCTACGGCGTAGTTGGTGTCCTTCTTGCTATTTACCTAAACGTGTTCACTGTTGGGAACGCAAGAAGTGCGGGACGAGCTATCCGGAGTGCAGTCCGACAGCAGCTCCTAGTGGTCAAAGTAATGTCTCCCACACTGCGATTTTCGATTCATGCTTATCTTTCATAGGTGGCCATGTTCATTGTTATCGAGCTCGTGATATTTCCCTTGGGATGTGGCATCATGCTCGACATTTGTACAGTTTGGGTCTTTCCTGAAGCCTCCCTCGAGTCACGTGCTGCCTTTTTCACTCAAGCTCCATTGACGGCGATGTTCTATCACTGGGTTGCCGGGACCATGTTCATGTGAGTCAACAAGATAGTCTCAGTAGATTCGGTAGACTAACTTTTTCTTTAGGTACCAGTTTGCCATTCTCTTGGCCGGATGTCGGAACATCATGCGCCCCGGAGCCATGTGGTTCATTAAGGATCCTCAAGATCAAAACTTCCACCCAATCCGTGACATCCTAGATAGGCCCACATTCACTCAGTTCCGCAAACTCCTCATCAGCGCTTTCATGTACGCCATGGTGGTCGCGTGTGGAGTGGCAACTCTTGCTGTACTACTTTTCGTTGGTAACAGGTCTATTTTCCCTCTTCGGTGGAAGACGCGGTGAGAAATTACCTAGCAAGTGATCTCCAACTTTTTTCTGACATTGTCACCCAGCGAACCAATATCCACTGTCCCCGTAGATCTTATTTTCCTACAGTTTGCTCTGCCATACACAATGCGCTACCTCAGGCCAAGAAAATTCTTCCATCGTTGGGCCGTCCGTATCTGGAAGCTGGTAGCAGCAAGGTTGCGTCTGACATCTTACATGTTTGGCGAACGCCACTCGGACGAAGAATTCACGGCACAGTTTGACGGTTGGATTCCTTTCCTCCGCAGGTCATTGAGCGACATAGAGTCTGCTAGCAAAACGTCCGATGGGACCTTTCGTCGTGTGCCCGCAAGTGACAACATCGCCCTTCCGAAGGATATGCGTGCCACTGCGGAAGTGCTGGAGGATGGCACCCCCGCCAATCCTGCAGCAGAAGAGCTCGTAGCGGCGCAAGATGCAGAAGCTGCAAAGGCCAAACGTGACATCAAGAACGATTATCTCATCGTATACTTCCCGCCTGGCTTTCGATTTAGAATATTCGGCTTCATTACCTCTGTGTGGGTCATCGTTGCCGTGTTGGCTGCTATCTTTATTGCAGTACCCATGCAACTGGGTCGTCACTTCTTCTGTCTGTTCACATCGAAAGAGCTACATGATGGCTACTCCTTCCTCGCAGGGCTCTACCTTCTTTGGGCTTGCTATCTCGTGGCCAAAACTGTGGAACGCATGGACAAACGCAGACAGCGAAGAGGTGGCGATGGGCCAAGAGCTGAGTTTGCAGTCTTCTTCGTGAAGCGGAGCCTCCTTTGGCTATCCAAAATTGCTTACATGGGGATCTTTTTGGGCATCATTATCCCCATTCTCTTCGCACTCGTCATTGATATGTACATCGTCATGCCAGTTCGTCTGACTCTTAACCCAACGCTGGTCATTCACATCCGTATTGTTGACATGTGGGCCCTCGGTCTTGTGTATGGCAAGATCTTTATGCGTATCAACCGGCGGCCTCAATTTGATGTTGGGCGCGGAGTGGTTACGGTTGGTCAAAATTGATTGCTGGCAGGGCGAGCCTACTAACTAGTCACTATAGATCATCAACAACGGCTGGACACATCCAGACCCCAAACAAGCAACGAAAGAAGTAATCATTCCGCTCATTGTTGGGTTACTTGGTATGCTAGTCCTCCCTGCTGCCGCAGTGTGGGGCCTACGGAAATTCTTCGATCTGCCGTTAAGTCCTAAATTCATGTGTAAGTTGCTGTATTTCGATTACGCCGCAAGTGTCTTACTCGCTTTCTACAGTTATGCATGCCTATCCAGGCATGTTTGCCACGGTAGGCCTCTATCGGGCATCAATGGCTACGTTGAGGTTGTTGTCCTCCTGGTCACAGGCAATCAGGGATAAAGAGTTCTTGGTGGAAATGCGATTACAGAATCTCGAGCCTGTTGCGACAAGCGAAACGAATGCACAAAAAGGAGAGGCGGAAGGTGAAGGGACCGCTTAGGACTGCTTAGGTCTATTATCCAAGAGCGTACGTAGACATCATAGCTGATGTATAATAATGTATGTTTTTTTCCATGTTGACTAGTCGATCTGGACGAGTATGTCGGCCAGAAAACAGGGGTGACAGGAGTCCGAAATCCTGCTACGGCAGTAGGTGTCATCGCCGTAAAAGCCTCATTTTTAGAAATACCCTCCGGCCCTATATTCTTCTGTTCTGGTGAGTTCGTTCGCACAGTCCTAACAAAGCTGACGGAGCGCGCAGATGCCAAATAATACTCGCGTCGCTCGACCATGTCTTCCACTTGTTCCAAAATCCTTGCTGATAGGCTTCCTGTTGCTATCCATGTCAACGACTCGAGTCTTGAATCAACTGTATCCTTGTCTCTTGCACAATTCGCGTTGGTCACCAATCATAATGAAGTCCACTTCTGGCCTGGTGCGCCTGCCAATCATTGATGGTCGGTAGCATTTCCGACGGATGTTTTATCCCTGAGTGCATCCAATTCCGAAGGCCGTCGGAATCGATTCTGGCACAAAAAAAATGTGAGCCAATCACAAGAAAGCTCAACATCGCCGCCCAGCTTTCTGCTGGCCACAGTTGCATTTCCCAGTCTGAAGGTACGTGCATTTATCGTTTTTACATGGTATCATTCTGATTTTACAAAGAAAAACATCTTCTGTGCTTGTTGTTACAGACGGAGAAGGTGTTTCAGCTGCCCAAGCGGATTATTCTAACGTTGCCCAGGCGGTCTATCTCGCTCGTCTCCGTTGTGTTCACCTGTACTAGCGCACAAATGATCATACTGTGAACAATTTTTTTTGATGGCTATGCAAACCAGCTCTGAATGCGTTAGCGGTTGCTTGTGGATTTTTGGTAGACATTGACTCGTCCGTGGAGAATTTGCGGGAGTCTATTTCTTATCATGCTGTACAGGACTCTGGTTCTCACTCGTTTGAAGGTTGTGACTTTGTACGTCAATGTTCTCGAAAGCACGGCCTATTCCCGTTCTTGACAGCTATGTTAACGACCACGAAACGACGCCCTTTGGAACGGTCACTCAAGGCAAATGGAGTCAGTTTTGAAGCTGGGTCGAAGATAAGACGGCTTCGTCGCACATTGAAAAACATATCAAATCACTCCAGAAAAAGTCATGTGCGTATCTTCATACTCAATGAATCAAGTTTGATTGTGTTTACAGACTGCGACCCGTAGCGGACTCTGCCGCGAGCGGCCCTGCACGCTGTGTGGATTAAATTAACAGACAAGGTTAGACTTTAAAGCTAGGTAATACTTCTCGGGACCTTCCAGAATCCAGGCTGGATCACACAAAGAACGTGTGATTAGTGAGTCAATCTCCTCACCGTGACGTGGGATCGAGAGATGTAACGAGAAGGAACGCGTAGCCGCGAATATGCGCGGAGCGGCGTCGATATTCTTGTCATTGTGCCCACGCACCGGGAAATCGAGGATTGGGGCCGAGCGGCCATGTTGGTTAAGGAAGTGGTGCAAACCCCGTCTGGATCCCGAGCAACCGACACCACAAACGCGTCTACTTCGCGAGGATTCCGAAGACCGAAGAATTGGTAAGTTATATATTTTTTTTATTCATCAACAGTCATGACGACCTGAGGGTGGAATATGCTAAAGTAAGTAATATTATGATGAGTCTGGACTCTGCGCAGAGCCCACAGACTGGGAATAAGTGACCGTATTATGACACTGCACTGGCTTTATACTGACACCGTCTTTAAGAAGTTACAACAGTATTGATTCCGACTGATAAACACGGCCTTTGGCCTTCTCTTACGACCTTCGATTCAAGTCCATCCTGACATATCATCGTGCTGTGCGTGGGCGTTGAATTTCAATCTGTTCGAACACTCCCCACCTGCTCGACGAGATACGTTACCTCAGATCGCATCGGATGTGAAAACACTTCGGAAACTTGCAGGTGTTCTCGGAAATGTCATGGAAGTGCCTTTGACATGCGAAGGGCGGTGCTAGTAAGACTTTGGTAACGTAGTACTTATCTTAAATCACGAGTAGCTTTGTTGGGGGACTAAAGTTAAAGCTTGCTTCATGATTGTCGAAGCGAATGCTATTCGCTGTTCTTGATCAAGACATATTACTTCACTCCCGTGAAGGATAATAATTCACCCCGCAGTAAATCATTTACGGGACAAACATCTTAAGGGACCCTAGCAAGATCTATCAGCACCTATCAGATACAAAGGTATAACAGAAAGCCACCCATATGGTATGGGCGCGGGCTTGGCGTGAATGGAGATCAACTTGGCTATAGAATGGTCTGAAGCTTAGTAGGAGGGTGTCGATCGACCGGGATCTATACAAAGGTTAGCCAAAGCTTAATAGAGCAAACTTTGTATTTTACTATGATCCGTCATGGTAGTAAGTGCATGCATATGGTCCTGTAGATCGAACCTGGTTGTGTGATCAAATGGCTTGGCATCTAGGACAGAATTCATGGCAGAAAGCGAGAACTTGCTCACATTTGGCCAGCCCTTAACGGAGCTTGTACGCAGTACTAGTACTAGTGTGCGATGTCTCATAAGTACTGTCAGTAGAATCATAATGTTACCGTGATCGAAAGTGGAAGGTGGTATTACTTCAAACTCCGTGACTTCCAGTTGTTGCCGCACAGCCACACACGCGTGAATGTTACATTCGACTCATAACATCACCTGCTGGAGAGATGACCGTCAGTTATTCCAATGCTGAACCATTCTACAAACTGAGCTGAATGTAGGACCTGACATTTTGTTACATTCACATGACTGAACATGATCTGAAAGTGCTCGACACCATTGACAGTCCAGAATACATCTCTGGCGAGTTATCAGATGACGGTAGGACAAACCACTTCTAAAATCTTGAACACTTGATTGAAAATGTGCAAAATGAATAGAACTCGACATACCATCACATATGATTCCACCGAATCCGGACGATTCTGACAGTTCGTGATGACACTCTTTCTGATAGGCTCACTCTGGCTGATCTCCATTTGACAGTATTGCCTTCTCAGGTCCATCCCTCATATCCCTACGGGAATCCAACAAATATCAAGCATCCAGCTGCAAGACCGAGACCACCATATGACCCAACTTCTCGGGCGTTATTCGAGGACATGGGCTATGGCGGGGGTGGTGTGAATGGCTCTTTACGCTGGAGAGACCTTGCTTTGGACCGATTACTACCCGTCAATGATGAGAAAGAAGAGATGAAGAGAGCAGCCGAGGCAAGAAAGATGGCCAATGGTGCTACGACCCAACCACAGCAGCAGCAACAGCAACCGCCACCTCAGGTAGGAGTTGCTGATCAAACTATCGACGAAGAGGACGAGGAAGAAGAGGACAGTGCAGAGCATGATGAGAACGATGTGGACGAAGATAATGTAGAAGACGAGGATGATGATATGTAACTACGCAGACACATCGCTCAACATTAATACTCATGGCAGCAACGAGCGCATCACCTGTATCACCCAATAACAAACGTTTGGCATCCCCTTCTTGTTCGATCACCCACTCGTAGGCTTCCAGTAAAAGTGTATCCGTTAAAGGAACAAAATGGTCCGCAAAGACGCGAATAATGTTACTGACGCGTGAGATTGCTGCACGAGTAGCATTGTCGATGTCCTGAAATTTGGGTGAGCGTCTACTATGCTCCGTGCTAATGACATTTACCCACATCGTTTTGGTTCGAATACACCGCTTCAGCATCAAAACCCTCTTCGCCTTGGTCATTGTCCTTCGCTTGTTTGCTAACCCATATGTAGCCGTTTAACCCCAGAATAAGATCGACGCCGCACGGCAAAGATATGAAGTGAGACTTTAATCGCCGAACCAATATTGGGGGTACTGTCACGAGTTGGCCGTTCCGCAGCTGGGACAAAGGGGGTTCAGAATGAAGCCCTTGTTCAGAAGAATGAAAGACGCTCACCTTGCCGTACTTTAAAGATCGCGTGTGTAACGACATGGCGCCATCCGAAAAAAATGCTTGTACCTCGGCAACCAGAAGATCCCCTTCCTCAAAGAAATTTCGCATTTGGAGTTCATCACTCTCTAATTTCCGACGCTAGCATGAATGGGGTTACAAAGACTATACAATGTTGCAAGGGTAAAACCCACTTGTACCCCTCCGGGTAGATTGACTGATGAAAGCATCAAGATGGCATCTTGACGTGAATTGGCATCTACTTTCCATCTTCGAGGTTGAACCTATGTGTCAAACCCTTAATGGAACTCTCAGGCCTCATCATGAGGTACACACCTCTGTTATGCGCCCAACGACAAGATCTCCCACCTCTGGATTGTATCTTGATCGAAAATAAATCGAGAAGTACCAGCAATTTTAGAAAACCACTCACCTGGTACGAATCGCACGAACGGTCACGAGTTTGTTCACCCGTTCTACAGTCCCCACGACGGAGGCAATGACATCCTCTTTGTCGACATATGTCCCATGACCACTGCAGGCGCTCATTAACACAATAAAATATCATTTCCTACAAACTGCTTACCGCATGTATGCTTGCGACGATGTGATGGTCTCCCCTGGGCAAGTCAGCCTCGGCTCAGAACCTGAAAATTCATCGTCATCTACATCCATAAGATCCTCAACATCTGGATGATGTCGCGTGGATCGATGATAGGTGGAATCAGTAGACTGTGATGAAAATGATAAGAAGGATAACATTTGAGTGGTTTACAGACTGCAAGGTTCAAGTTGATCGCTAGGAACGCAAATTAGTGATCGCCTACATAGTTACACATATACGTTGCATAGCGCACAGGGCGTGGGAATGTCTACATCTACTAGATCTAGGTCCTTCCCTCTTTCTCGACCAGCATCGTCGTTTAACTTGGTCCTTCATATCAAGCAACAACGGCTTTTGCGTGCGGGTCGGGTTGCCAATACCTTTGCCTACAGTGATCATCATGCTCGATGGTTCATCAAATTTTCTGTCCACGTTACAGTCGACATCGTTCCACGCAACCTCGCGCAGACTCAGTTTTGCACAGCCAATTGCAAATAACAATAACCACTCATCTATTTTATGGAGAAATACAGTTAAGAGCAGGAACTAGTAAGATAACAAAACAAAAACACTATGAAAGCTACAGATATCGGAACAAAGCAACAAACGATATATATGTGCGATAATATACGACAAGGAGCTTTAATGCTGCAATGGAAAGGTCAGAAGCACGCGCCTTCCCCGGATGATGTGGCTTATATTCTACTTTTTAAGCACATTAAGAACCAAACGCGTTATGCGTTTACTTATAGGCCAAGAAATAGGCTGAGAGAGCGGGAAGATCATTCGACCCTGCATCAGAGTAGCCCTGGCGCCGAGATCCGTTGAACTTCAGGACGACAACTGTACCGCACCAAGCTTTCGCGGCGGCACCGGACGTGATGTGATAGATAGCACGGTTAATGGGTGCGCAACGCGACAGCGCAGTTGGGGAGTACCACAGATGAAGGGGGAATCTGAGCGGCTCTCCATTTAAGCCTTGCGTCAAGACAATGCTTTCCGCTTGGCCGTCCGAGAAATGTCCGCTGACGAGAGGTTGAGGACACATGCCCTGCGACGGGACCTGGGACGGACGGCACTTGACCGTGATGATCCTTGGACGCTCTGCAAGTGATGAGCGTGTCGTAACAACATGAAAACGCGTCTGGATTCACCTTCTTCGGGAGAGAAGAGGATGGCGGAAACCATAATCACCTGCTGCTCAGCAGGAGGTGGAGTGGCAATAATATTATAATTTTGGGCATGGGTTGCCGGAACACATTCCTTTCGATGGCGCGGCCAATCCTGGATGTTGTGATTGATAAGTCGCGTATCCATCACGCGACTGTCGTTAAAGACTTACGCTTTGAAGGTGCTCGGGAGCGCAATACCACGCGGCTTGGCAGCGGCTGCACCACATGGAAGTGGGCCTGCAGCATACCGTGCAAGGGTGGTTAATGAGAGGAACGGGGTTCATTTTGGACAACCGAGTTGGAAGATTAAAAGATATCCTTAGAAGGTCAGATGAAAAAGTGGCTGGTTATGAAGTTTATGGCGAGTCGGTTGAGCTTAAATATGGCTGAAGCGCGCTTAGGTTTCAAGGTTTAGGTCGACAGGTACCTTCACAAGGGTTTCGCGTGAGAGAGGTCAAGCCCACATTGACCGTTGAGTCGTTCGGGATCTGAGTTTGAGGATCTGAGATCTATGAGGCGATGCTGCTTCCAGGCACTGCCCAGTTGTAGCTTTCCGAGCCAGCTTTCAAGTGGCGCACGTTTTATAGTACCTTCGCTTTGTATCCACGGTGAAGCTGAATGAGCTAATCGGGATTAAAAGGTGACGTTGTGGCCAATCGTGGGTTTTAAAGCGTCGTTAGATGGCGTCTGAGGTGAGAGACTGAGACAACGTTAACTAGTGAATACGGAAGACACATGCCGAAAAAAATGGTTAACCTGAAGGGAGGGTAAATGTCGGGAGAGCTTAAAGGCGAAAGATGGACAATAAAAAATGATGGCACAAAGCATAGCAGAGCATAGCATGTCATACAAGTGGAAATTTAATCCCCCGCCGCAAGACGCTGCATTAGTTTCCATTGGACTTGGCTTCCGATACTCGGAAGCACTTCGGGCATAGTATCCTGCAATATGTCTGTGTGAGAGACTGCCAATCATCATACAGCAGTATATTGATTCGGTCGTTGTTGACTTACGTGAGAATCCGATTCTAACCTCAACGTTCCATAGTCCGAACCTTGAATGCTCAGGCCGCTTGTACTAGTACACGCGTGCTTGTATCCAGAGGTTGGACATGCCATCGTCTCGGTGACAGCAAAGTTATGTCGAAATCACTTGACGACACTGCGGCAGCGACAGCATGAGGGACAATATCTGTATCCGCCATGTCAAATATTCAATCGGTTGCCTTGTCACATTGGTCACACATCACACCAACCGACCACCATGTCCGACGATGAAATGAATATCGATGAAGGTACTTGTTTCACGATTTTATGGTTTAAGATTATGTTCTAACTCGAGATAAGTCGCTAACGGCGGCGGCGCTGTGAGGCGGAGAGGCAGGGGATTCCAAAACACAGCAGGTAATCACTCTTCATACTCGCGTTTCACCTATGTGCAACTAAAGTTGCGGCAGGTGGAAATGATGGCACAATCACCACTGAGCCCACTTACGACAGGGTTGAATCCTCTCATGTCAAGGATGACACGAGAGCCGCACGATGTAAGTATGTTTTGGCTTATTCCACCACATCGGGTTTATGAATCATACCTTGCATTTTCTTTGCACAGCCGTTGAAGGTTGGATCGTCTTGGTCACCAACGTACACGAGGAGGCAACGGAGGAAGACGTCACGGACAAGTTTGCAGAGTTCGGAGAGATAAAAAATCTCCATTTAAATTTGGACCGGCGCACGGGTTATGTCAAGGTCCGTTTATCGCATCTAGGGAACGAGGGAATTCGACAACTATTCATTTACAGGGCTATGCACTCGTGGAATATGAGACCATGGCTGAGGCTCAGACTGCTATTGATGGCGCGTCGGGAACGCCATTACTAGAACAGATGGTCCAATGCGACTACGCATTCGTTCGGCCCCCTCCATCGGGCCCGAAAAAAGGCAGAGGAGGTCGGGAAGGGCGCGGTCGGAGTGCCAGTCCGTCACGCAGACAGAGAGACTGAGGTTATTCTTCATTTTCCCCTTGAGTCCTCGATGTCTGACTGTATTCAGCTTTGTTTACTGTAACTTGATCATTCCTGTTCTCCTGCAATTACATCTGTTCCCCGATGCGACATGACGGCGCGCTTATAAAAGGTCCCGGCGAAATTTTGTCATACCTGCATATGTGATGCAGGGAGAACCGCAGTTGGGCAGTGTGGAACGTGAAGTTGCCACTCGGCGCACGTTTCAATGTGCGCGCGCGCGGCTGGGCTACTTATATTTCCCTGTAACATAATACTGCCAGATCATACACTAATGCGACTGCAGTTAGACCAAGACATCCCCAAGGGCGGCCGGGATTTGCCGAGTGCCCGTCGACAAGCTTGTTTACCTTTGTTCCAAACGATTACATAACGCCCGCGCCACCAAGTTTCTTGTTGCACATTGAACTCAGTCTCGAATTGAACTTGCTCCAATTACTACTCCTCACAAGCAGTCTGATATGCCTCGAGTGACAGATGCGACCAATTCTGACTCGGATGCGGACAGGCCACGCGTGAAAAAGAGGGTAGAGTACTCGTCCAAGAAGAATCGCGTATCCCCTTCAGAGCCTGAACTCGCGTCGGAGAATGACGAGACTGGTGCAGAAGAGGGCAACGAGGAGGATGAGGAGTATGAGATTGAGGAAGTCATGGAATCTCAAAAAGGTTATTTCGGTGATGTACGTTCATTGTCGTATTCAAACACGCGGAATGTTGACGCGCCATAGGGTAAATTTGGCTATTTTGTCAAATGGAAAGGTTATGCCTCGGAGGATAACAGCTGGGTGCACGAGGATGATGCAGCGTATTTGATTCCTCTTTGCATAAGTTGACTGAAACAAACTCGAATTCTATTCTAGCAATGCGCAGGACCTCATTACTAAATATTGGGAAAACAAGCGCAAAGCCAGTAAGGGCGGTCCCCGCAAGTCTATAGATGCTGGCAAACCAAAAACCGGCCGTAAATCCACCGTTATAGAGGAGACTCGAGAGCCCACGCCCCCCGCAAAAAAACGTAGTAGGCCAAAGAAAGCAGACCAGGAGGAGCGGTCGGAGAAAGAGCAGGAAGCCAGCGACGACGACGACGACGACGAAGCTAGAGCAAAGAAGAAACCACGTAAGAGCCAAGGGGCTTCTGCGAAGAAGGTCACGAAACAGGTGGCTGAAGACGAAGAGGTGGTCACTTTCGGTAGCATGAAGAAGCATATGACTATTGCTAGTTGGGAGAACCTTGTCGAGACCATTGACACGATCGAACGCGGAGACGAGGGTGACCTCTATGTGTACTTCAAGATGTCCGTTGACTTTTCCTGTTTTAGATTCCTGAATGCTAAACATATTTACAGAAAGCACAGCGATGTTCGAATGCGGGAAGTTTCCCGACTTTGTGCCCAAAAGTTCCCTCAGAAGGTGTGCTGTAAAAACCTGGCTTCTTGGACAACATATTACTTACTCGATCTGCCAAGCTCATCAAGTTCTATGAGTCCAATCTGCGATGGAGAATTGACGGCGAAGATGCGAATTAACACCGTACGACATAGCGGCATCCAATCAGGATTCCTTGTTTTGTTTTGCTCATTGCTTTATCTCATTTCATACATACCAAACATGACTGAACTTGTTAATCGTGACTTGCTTCAGGTTCACATGTCCAAAATTAATGGGATATGTCATACTTTTCCAGGACACTCAGGTTCCGGCCATTATGTTAATGTAGGGCTCTTGTATTTCATCCGCGTGATCCCTGCATCACCTGCAAATGACAAATCCGCACAGCATTGCCCACGCATTTCCGGAAGCATTTTGAGTAGATGGGGTCGTATAATTAATAATATTCAGCTGTCACTATCATGACGAAAGTCATCCTTCGCGGCATGTGTACACTAACAGTCATCACGTTATTCCGAAAAATGAGCCCGTCACTGAGCGTGGGTGTTACACATCATGTTGCAAAGTTCAATTCACTCCGAAGTCTGGGTGCGGCCACTCGCACTAATAGCGGCAGGGTTAGTGTGCCCGTTGTGTCATAACCAGTCCCTTACGTGTGATATCTACTCGAAGTTCGAGATACTACGGGTTCAAGAGGTAAACAGGGCCACTGACCTGACGTGGCACTACAAATTACCCTCAGAACCTCCCTGAACCTCCTGAACAATTAGTTGTCAAGAAATATGCACACGTGGGAGGACATGCAGTGGCCACGCAGACGAGGAACGATCCCTGAACGCTTGAGCGGCCATTAGCTATTAACAGTTGACTCATAGGGTCTATGTAGCGTGGCTCCCAGGAGGCCTGGGCATCAAAGAAATTCCGAGCGTCAATTATTATTTGAAGCAAAGCGGCGTAATTGGTGCCAGTGAACGTTAATTGAACAGCCGTGAACCGTGACAACACGGCGATTGACCGGCAGTACACCACATGCGATGATTGTGATTCAAAGCTATGCCATGAGTAAAGAAGAAATACGGAGGAATGCAAGGCCGTAAACATAGATGTCATAAATAATCCAAACATGACGAATTTCATAGCTCTGTGTGAGGATTAGCAGTGCTCTCTGAATGCTCTACCTCCGCCTCGCGAACCAGACTCGACACAATTTCTCCTGCGTCAGTGTGTTCGCGAGTATCGTCCCCTGCACTTTCCTCTAGAGGCTCAACCTTCCCAAGTGCCTCTAGTACCTCTTCCTTGCTTCGTCCAATAGTAACAGGGGGGACATAAGTGCGCTCACCCGTACCTTCCTCCGGTATTGGAAGAATCGAGACCTCCGGCCCAACATCACGCTCCGGATCAGTAGCTGTTTTCTCCTCATCCTTTTGGACATTATTGAATGCACGCTCGCCGTCGCGTTTTATCCGCCTCAAGCGTGTTTCAAATCCAATCACGACATCCTGGACCTCCGATTCAAGGTCCTCAAAGATAGGAATGATCGGGTTATCCATGATCAGATTCTCATGTGTACCGTTTTGTATTGAGTTTGCTTCTTCAATGAATTTTTCGCTGACTGTGGCAATAAAGAGGGATTAGTTTAACAGGCTATGTGACAGGAGCAATGGATAGGGGGACTCACCGTCAATCAGGGAATGATACCGCTGCCAGTCTGAATACGTCACTTCGTCGAGCCAAGCATAATCGAGCCCTAAGTCGACTTGGGCTTTTTCCGCGACTTCGCGAACTTCGGCGGCCACAGCGTAAACCTGTGCAACAAATAAACCACAATCAGTGACCGAATTTTTTAGGCAAAACGTAAATCAAAAGAGCACAAAAGGCTCAGTCGTGGGAAACCATAAGATGGGCGGGGGACAGGATGCGGAATGGCGGGCGCAAAAAACAAATTAGAAAGGCAGTGGTCCGAAACCAACGGAAATGACTGACAGTCACAGACCGGCGGAAAAACACAAAAGACAACAGGGAAAAGGAGATAACTAACCTCGCGCAGCTCCTGATCGAGGATAGCACTGTACCACGTGTTGACCACGGCCTCCACAACCCCAAGACGCTCTGAAAACTTCACGCCAACCTTCTCGACTACTCTTTCCCAGAGCGGCGTCTTCTCGTCGTTCTTCCGGCTCTCTGCCCTTAGATTCCTGAGATAGATCTCGGCGCCTTTAATGTACTTCTCCGCGTCAGCTACAAGGTTCTCAATGGCATCTCGAATATCAGGCGCCTCTGCAAGCTCGGCAGCAGCAGCGCTCCTGATTGCCCCTAGCCTGCCCTTGAGCGTAGACAAACTAGTCTGCATTTGAGACCGAAGTTCGGTTTCCCACTTAGAGTGACGGGCCTCGATATCAGCACGTTTGCGGGCAGTCTCCTCATCTTTAAGGCGCAACCGTTCAGCGCGCTCTTCCTCCGATTCTGGGGGATTGAGGGGCACTTGCTCGTGAGATTGGGATGTGGCTAAGGGTTCATCGAGCCCAAGTTCGGCGTAGAATGCGCTAATGTCGATCTCATCGTTGTCACTGGTATGTGTAGGGATTGAGCTGGAGGCGGTAGGGCCTGTGGAGACTGTGGAAGTGATGGATGAACTTAAACTATCGGCAACAGCAGATACTGTCGATGAAGTGACTGGTGCACTCTCTGATAAGTGAGACGACACGCTCTGGGGGGTTTGCACTGGGGTTTGCACAGATCTCGAGGGAGAGTGAGAAGAGGACGCGTATGCCTGTTGTGAGGTAACGTACACAATCGGCACGGTGTCGAATGCAGCGGGTACCTCCGTCTCTGCAGCTGTCGTTGGATCCTCGTTTAAAAGCGCTCCAACGGATGTCTCCGTCGCTATGCCGCGTGCTGGATCTGTTTCCACAGGAGGTTCATTTATGGATGCGTAAATTGACTCCAGCTCCAATGTCTCGGAAATAATAGGTTCTGGGCTTGGGAAGTCCGTTGCGTCGGATGGAGCAGAAGTAGACACTGAAGTTGCTGGCGAACCGCGGCTCAACTCCTCGACTTTCTCCCACAATTTGGCTACATGGGGATCGACAAAGATCCGTCTCTGTTCCCTTAGGAACAAAACTGCGTGCTGCACCTGCACACCGATTCTTTTTGCCAAAGGCACCGCGTGAGGCTTTGTTGCATAATAAGTATCCTGGGTTTTGTGGATGGCAAGGATGATGTAAGGTTGTGCTTTGTGCTGCCATCGCTGCAAGTTGTAAATAGCAGTACGCACGTGCGGAGCTATACGCGTCGTGTATATCGTTTCCGCTTGCTCGACATACGACTCTGTACGCGCAACGTAAGGTTCGAGTTTGCTCAATCGCGGCGCGACGTGCTTGTCATACTGAGGGACAACATGTTTCTGCCATTGCGGAACAACGCGATTTTCCCACTGGGGGACAACATAGGTCGTGAAGGTAGGAACCACACGATTAATCCAAACTGGAACAACGCGCTTCTCCCACTGCGGGACAATACGTGTGGTCCACTCTGCTTGCGTACGAAAGATAATGGGACTAGCAACCTCGGTAACGCGGTCCACATATGGCGCGATGGAGGGGTGCGCAAGCGCAGCTTGTATTGGTGGGATAACGTACGGGTCGAGAACGATACGTTTGTACTCAGATAGGCCGCGGCAAACAGGGGATTGGAGATGTGCCTCACGAGGGCAGACAGCGAAGACGTAGACCGTGACGGCGAGCACGAGGAGCTTGGTGAGGAAGTCGAAAAGGGACTGGATAGTGGATTTGCGTTTCTTCTTCTGTCGGTGAGTTGGTGTCGGTGAGCCGATATATATTAGAGCGAGAAGAAAAGAAACCGCACTTTGCCTGATTTCTTTAGCTTGTCTTTCTTCTTTAATTTTTTGTGTTCATCCTGTATAGTCGCGTGATCAGCCCCTTACAATAGACTGGGCAAACGACAAGCCGAAAGCAACACAACCCCAAGCAAATGATGCGAAAGGTCCGCATACATTTCTATCGGTCCGTTTAGAAACACATCGTGACTACTCACCTTGTCGTTATGTTCCTTAAAGTTATTAGAGACTCCAGCCACAATAGCTGGGGTGCGCGCGTCTCCGGATGCCAGTGGGCTTGACACATGAGGTAGCACAGATGCGTCCTGTATTACAGATGGTCTAGCCGAGCGCGGTTGACCTTGTGAAGATGGTGTGCGGGAAACTGGAGGTGCTGGTACCACTGGAGTTCTGCGAGTAACGACCATTGTAGACTATAAAGTGCCAGGTGCCAATGCCAATGCAAGATTATCGTTGAAAATATGAAATTGGGCCTATAAGGAAAGCATAGATTTTGGTGGCAGAAAAGCGTACGGCTGGCGTGGCAAACCTATAATACTCGTGATTGTGAAGTATGTTGATTGTGGTTTGCTTTTGGAGCCACCCAAGTAGTTTGCTCGTGTATGGCAAAGGCTTCGTTATGTAATCCGCTTCTAACGGAGTAGGTCAGAACTCAGGAATAGGACCATATTGTGTGGGTACCGGGCACAAGCCTAGCTAGCGGTTGGTTCAACGTTCAGCTCACATTATAAATCCTGCCAGGTTCTACCGGTGCAACTCCTTTTAAATAGTTCTGCCCACGACGTGACTACAGATATTATTGCCTTTGCATTCGGTCATTTGCAATATGAGATGCATAATTTTGCAATTTAATAACACTTGCAGTGAATAAATAAGCGCCTGGTTGTCCTCGGGCTTGTAGGGGCTCCGATGTACCTTAAATCAGTCTTGGCTTCAAGGCAAGTACTTCTTTAAGTATTAAGTGCCAGGGCCCAGGGGCACGTAGTATTTGGTCTTGTATGGCAACAGCTTCGTTACATAATCAAGCGTGCTCCACAACGCCGCGTTATGCTCAACAGTCTAACGGGGCAAAGACTGACACCCAGTGAAATTTGACACACAATGGCTCGACAGCCAGTTAAGGTAACCTATGCACACAAGCGGGGACGTGCAAATGCTGCCGCGAAGCTCTTGTCTTCTCCACTTGAAGCCCTTTCACCTGATCGTGACGATATTACGCGTTCAGAGATGTCTAGGCGAATGCTCAAGCGCTCTCGGGGTGTCGCTAACGAAGACGACGACACAGTGCGACTGAAGGGTCATATCGTGAAACGTGCCAGGCAAACTGTCGTGTCCGATGCTTCGGGAGCAGAAACTGGTGTCGACGCATTCCTGACGCCATTTCCTTCTGCGGAGTACGTTCATTCATCCTCAGTTACGCGTCCGCTGGTGCAAGAAGAGTTTTCCCCCGTACCGAATGTGAAAAGTACTCTCTCGCGCACGAGCTCGCGAAATTTGAAGGAGAATAGTGCATCCCTTTCCCTTGCCTCACCTTTTCACAGTCGTCCCTCCTCCCCTCACACTGGCTCCACAACCAAAGCGAAGGCGCGATCATCTCGCATCCCCCTGCATTTGAAGTCTCGCACGCTTTCTGGTGCCTTTCAGAAAAATGATAGTGCATATACTCGCCGCAAAATCTCGCACAAAGACTCAACCATATCCCTGAACGACAGGAAGCTTTCCCGTAAGGACTCTATGATATCCCTCAATTATAACAGACTATCCCGCAAGAACTCTACGGTATCTCTCAATGAGCCGGCCATATACTCGCCTTCGAAGCATCAACGTCGTCCCTCGAGCCCAGATCCCTCATATATGCTATCTCACATCGCACAGCAGGATTGGATTTCTCCATCCAAAGCACTTACAGTCCATGCAGGTGTCTGTGAGCTAGATCCGACTTCGATTACCCAACCCAATCCGATTCAAAGTTTGTCTGCATCACCCTTTCTTGTTGATCGTCCCCAGTTCTTCTCCACCCCGCTGCATAGCCGCTCTGGCAGCAGGACAGGCCTCCAAGCGCCGAAATCTCCTTCAAAACTAGCCTTGCTTGCGTCTTCCCCGCGCCTTCCGCGTGACGAGGACTTTGAAATGGCAGATCACACCGAGCACCGCAAGATCCGCATCTCAGGCAATAGCATTATCTCTTCCTCTGGCTCGTTCACCCTTATGTCTCACCAAATTTCCAATGCAATCGACGTTGATGATCGCATCGATAGTGCTGGCAGTGCACCTATGTCTATGTCTATTGACATACTTCCTCAGAAGATCTCAATGGGCGAATACATGATTCCTCTGGCGTCTTCTCCCCCGGCTTTGGACGCTAATCTCGGACCACAGCACAAGGTCTCACTAGGTCAGAATATCTTGGCGCTTCCTGGCTCAAGCCCGCCGGTGTCCGATGGATCAAGTTCGCCCGCTCCGGACTACCCAGGTTCCTCCGCGAGAAACACATCAGCTAATTTGCCTCCCCGTGGTGCGGCTACTTCAAGCATAGGCGCGCCAAGCGAAGCAGACTTGATCCAAGATCTGCTATCACTTGATTTGGGTGGTATGTACACGCTCTCGGTGGCTACACCTCCCTTCCCGACCATCATGTGGTTGGCATAAATCTCTTCATCTTTTTGGGATCTTGTGTTTAATTGCTTTCGTTGCTCTTGCGCAGATGACCCTCTCTTAGGCTCCGACCTTTAAAATTTGCATTTGCCTGATACTGAACTCTTTCGCAGACAGACGCGATGATAGTACTCAGCTCCCGATGCGTACCCGTTCCCTCGAGACCCACGCCGGCGTCGGCTCCAAGAAAACAAGCACCGTCAAGCACAAGAGGAACCGCGCCGGTACCATCCGCGCATCTGATTTCACACAGACCGCTTCCTCTTGTTCTAGTGGCTCCACACTGACCTCCCTCGCTTCGACTATCGCCGGGCCTGCTGGTTCTCTACCTGGCCGCACGCGTTCCGGTACAGTCGTCGGCCCCAACTCGAAACTCGCGATATGGCCACACGCAAAGGGAGCCATGAGGAAACAGTCCTTGATGCAGCTAACACTACATGATGCCCACAGTAGATCGGGGGATGACATGGACATTTTTAGGGTGCGCGAGGACGTGGGCCCGTGTGGCACTGAAGAGCTCGGCTCTGTTGGCTTGATGCAGAGGCTGAAAGGCAGGAGAGGGAAGAAGAAGGTCGTGCATGATGAAACTGCGTCAGATGATCCGTTGCTTATCACTGGTCCGTGGAGGGACGAGGATTGGTCTTAAGGTGAGAGGGTGTGACTCTTGTCTTTGAAATTGACTCATTCACCATGCCAAGTTCTCTTTCACTGATGCACTGTCAAAATGCTGTTTGTTTTCCTCATATTTTTTATTGTTGCACTGTGCATTCACCTCATGGACTTCGTCGGACTTAGGATAGCTTGTACAATACCTGCTTTGCACCCTCATCATCAACTCTAGATGTAATTGTATGTCCGTATACCGTGACCATTGCAATATCGATCCTGCCACGAGTCAACACTACCAGCTCATGGGTCGCGTGATTCTCATCCGATCCTATTAAACCCATCGTATTTGCTATCACCCACCGTGATCCCTTCCTTTCATGTAGGCATCATGAGTCCGACGAAATTCTCAAGCGGGAATAACAAAAACACTTCGGATTCGATCAGTGATTGTTCGCCTGGATATAAACTGGTCATTAAAGTGCGGCTTCACCATACCCACAAGACACTTGATCAAATTGATAGACCAGTCTATAATGATAACGCCATATAGCACAATATGTACTGTCGGTATTAGGCTAGCCTACAATGCTAACAATAAATGGGGGAAAAGGTACATAATGACTTTCCGCTGCCATCGTGAAAAAGCTCCCCGGCTACTAGCAAGAACTATACAAGAAGGGATTGATTGATTTCGCGGACGCCGTTCAACCTACGCAACTTGTAACAAAATGTACTATATGGAGTTATTCATCAGATCATTTCTCTCGAACATCCACAACTGCTGAGTAGAGCCGATGTTACTCTGGGCCTCGATCTGAGACCTCATATCAGCAGATATTTCATCAGGAAAGGTAGTAATAGACGGTTCATACAGGTGAGTTTTCGTCCCATGACGTGAGTGTCCAGGTCAAGTCCGTGCATTCGATGTCGATGCTGAAGAGAAACCCTTTAAGAGACATAGCAGTGGTTCTACTCGCGATTATAGACTCACGAAAAAAACTTGGGAGATCTGGGGCTTTCGCTGATCCAAAAAAGCCAAGGATTTTTGGAACAAGTCAAAGACTGAGTCTAGAATGGACAGCAATTTCAAATTAACTCACATTTCGTTGAGGTCCGAGAGGGCAACTTACCTTGGAGTCGAAGTAAATATATTCTTCGAGTATTTCTCCATTGCTCACCGCTTGGAAAGTTGCCAATTCACCCTCGTGAAACATTGCAAACCACTGGAACGCGTTTAGAGTAAGCCTTGAGCAAACCGAAAGAGTCGGTCTATCATAGAACCAATCATACCTCAATCATGATTCCAGGTTCTTCAGAGTGTCCAACGATGTTGCCATCGACGAGAGAGACATATTGCCCTGGGCGCGCAACATTTGCCAGCTTATATGTACCGGTGCGCATGTTATTTGCTAGTGAATTGTGAATGTGAGAGTTGGAGACGAATAACTCAGAGAGATGGACATGATCTTATATACTTCGAGTGCTTTGCCAAGCGGGCACTAATCAAGATATATTATAGACGAACCCGAACCTCCATACATCTACCGGCATCAGAGTTGTTCGCCCAAGAGTGGATCGCAGGTGTCGTAAATTTTGTCAATGAAGTGGAGCGGAAGACGTTCCCTTCCGAGTAAGGTGTCTTGTGATTAAATAATTTGGATGATCGTTTACATAACAAGGAAACGAATAGATGGCGTGCCTGCAAGCTAATTGGCGGGAGGGCCTTGATGCTGACGTTTCACTTAAGTAGTAAAAACTCTAATGACGAGAATGCTCTTACCCCGAGGACACTTACCACTTTGAGCCATTTGGGCCCCATGGGGTAAGATGTTTCAACCACTGGCCCTCTGGCCAGTGGAGTTGTTCGCATAAAGCACGACAAATAGGAGATAAAATGGAAGATCTCAAATTCCTTCCGAGCACGAGCGCTGATCGCTGATTCGAATGGAGGAGCATTGTTATTTACATAACGATGAGACGAATGAGCGAGATGCGGCCTTAGAAGTAGTAATGAGAATACCCCAGACTATTCATTAAGTCCAAGATGCGGCTCGCAGAATGCAGCACCGCACGGGGAGGGCAATAAACTCGAAAGGCGGTCGCCATGTATCAATGCCTAAGTTCAACAGCGGGGCAAAGTTGGTGGATGCAATTTTCAATAATGCAGCAGGATCAACGTACCACGGTCTGCCATTGACCTCTGAGCTAGCGGCATCAAATTTATTGACTTCGTCCGTCTAGGACCGACCAAGTGGCAAACACAGTCAATGTCAATGCCAGTGCTCGTTACCGACGCAAGTACGTGTGCGTGTGTTCTGGTTTTTCGCTGCTAAAGCGCTGACTGACCGCAGCGGAGCTAGAGAACGACGTGGGCGGCCGCGGTTATGGGTCCCAGCTAAGGATGACTAAGAATCAGCAGCTGAATCATGGTCGTTCGATCGACCCCGCATGATGAATTTTATTACCATTGGTAATAGCCATAGCCTCGGCCAATAATAGGCTCTAAAGGAAAAACATGCTCTTTCCGCATGTCTGAATTACGATATCGGCTTATATCAAGACCACCATCATTATATGCGACCCGCCTCAACTGAGCTAGAATCAGCGAGCTCTCAGTGTGCTGCCACATTACAAAGGACTACCATGGACCTACATGATACCCTACAGGTGCGTTTCCCCATTTTGCCACTCGTTCTGCAGTGCTGAATCATCTATCATGACTCGGCCGCGAAGGCTGAATTCCCCCAAATCGATACTTCCCTTCTTGCAGCCATCATTGCAGACCATGTACAAGAAGGGGACGATGCCACCTACTCCCCCAACCAGGTCAAGACTATACGAGATACATTAAAGGTTCTTGCAGACCAGGCGCAGGAGGATGAGTGGGAGCTAGACGACATCATGTCCACTACGTCTCTCACCACTCCAGACCTGTGCGACAGTACAACTGCGAGCGAATCATCGCTATCTCAGCACTCATTCAGCTCGCCACTCGGCTTCTTACAAGAGGCTTTCTCGGATGTGCCTATAGAACGCCTGAAACGCCTGCTGAGAGAAGAGTGTGGGGAAGTCCTGGAGGGAAACGGAGATATTGACATGGAAAGAGTGGTGGAGCATATCTTGAACATGGAACATATACGCGACCTCGAGGAGCGTGGAATTGATGCCCTTGAACGAACTCCTTCACCATTGCTCGATGGGGACTGGGAAACCGTCATACATACAAAACCGAAATCGACACCTAAGCTCGCCACGCCTACAAAAAAGAAGGCTAAGGGTCGTACGATCAAAATTGTGGATATGATGCAGACACAGCATGCCCCCCCTTCTTTATTGCAGACGAAAGGGATGCAAAAGGAGGGGGTGACTATGGGCGCTATAGGCGCGGGTGTGGACATATGGACGCAAGTCTCCTCCCTTTCTACTCACATCGCTGCACTACTTCCTCCAGCCCCGCCATCACATTTCGCCTCCTTTTTCCACTCCCCAACACACGCCACACCTGCGCACGCCCTTCGCGCTGCTCTTGCAGCCCTGCCCTCGAATTCTACTAGCATCAAACACAAAGCTAATAAAAAATCTCCTATCAAGAAATCTAATCAAGATGCAGAAACCACCACGCTATTCGCCCTTCTCGACCTCCTCGAAGCCTCGCCCACTTTTGCCACTCTTGATGCGGAACAACGTAATACTTTGTATGCAGACGCCCGCGTCGCACTCTCTGCCGCACAGAACAGGCCGGATGATGCTCTAGATATCGTTTGGATTCTGCGTGAGCTCGAGCATCCCGCATGCCAAGCAGGAATATACCACCTCCCACCTCCGGTTTCAGGCTCAAAGTCAAATTCCACCCCTGCACGTGCAAAGTTGCCGACCGGTCCCCCACCTGTACAGCCTCCACCGACGTTGAAACGGAAATCTGCATACTCTCCTTCCAGTCCTATCACACAGCCCCAACTCTCGGAGCCATGGCAAGAGGTGCCGATTCGAACCCCCAGAACCACACAACCCCCGGAGAACCCCAACCCCACGAACAAGCGTAAACACCGTGGCGCAGGCAATGCGCTCGGCAAAGGCGGGAAGGGGGATGTTGGAGAACTCGCCCAGAACGGGACAGGAGGGAGCGTCTCTGGGGTGCGACATGCGCATTTTGCGCGCGGGATGCTTCAGGCGCGCATACAGCGCGATGAGCTGCTGCGCGAGGCGGGCCGAGCATGGCGGGGGCCACTGGGCGGGGAGGTGGCGCTGTACTATGCGCAGAGAGCGAGGGAGGTTACGGAGAAGGCGCGGGAGGACGCATTGGATGAGGCAAGAGGGTTAGTTGAAGCGAAGAGGTGAGTTTTTCTGTCTTCTACTACGCAAATATTCTCAAAAACTAATGCACCATGTAGATACGCTTCCGACGACAAAAGATCCATCGATCTACACGGGACGTGTGTTCAAGAGGCGATAGTGATCACAAGTGAGATATTAGAGAGGGAGGGATGTTCACCTGGTGAGTGCGTTGTCACGTTCTGTTTGTCGGTTACTGGGCATTTTGCTGAACGGAACTATGTGTGTGCGTCTGTGTCACTTTACCCGACCTTCGTTCCATAGCATACCCCCTTCGCCTTATCACTGGCCGCGGTACCCACTCTGCAGGGGGCGTGGGCGTATTGAAGCCCGCAGTACACCGTGCGCTCGTGAACAAGGGGTGGGATGTAAGGATGTGGGACGGAGGGTTAGTCGTTCGGGGACGGGAGCGATGGCGTGTGCCTTGATTTTTATATGTACGCGGGCCGATGGGTATTTATGCCATTTTTCCTGGATTTGTTGTATGTTCCGTTCATGTACGTCGTATATCCGTGTGTCATCTATACCTCTCTTCCCTTGTTTGTCTCTGTTCTCGTATGTGTACTTTGTTGACCTGTTTGTGATCATGATTCCCATTGTATACTTAGAAGTGTATCGACGTCTGCCTCGTTATACATCTATTCCTATGCGTGGACTGTTCCGCCGTTGAGTAATGGGGCTGCGAGGCGAAGATAGGCTTTTGTTTCATAGAAAACAAAGTTCGAAATACTGCCTTGCAATTTGGGAGACCGTAATGGTCGTATTCCAGCACGTTGCCATCCGTTATTAGGCTCAACATCCGCAATCGAGCTGCCGGTCGTGAGACCAGTGACATTATGATGGAATAAGAGACGAAGTTCCATGAGGAGATGTAAGGAAAGGACAGTGCGCACCAGGCATCGTCCTCCTATGGCAAAAAGTGCCCAGACAGGCCCCTTTGTATTGAAATAATGTTAGCGGAATGGCTAAGATAGCTAATATCGACAGAGAAGTGAGTAGTTAGACTGCAGAGAGACGTGAGGGCTTTGTAAAACAAACCAAACAAGATTTCATCAAGTGTTGATTCGGTTTGTGTGTGGGGAGTTGTGACTTTGCCAGACTAGCGCAAGAGGACGGGGGTCTGGGCCGAGCGCGTGATCCGGAGAACGCTGAAGAAGAGAAGTCCGGGGGATCGATCGATCAAACAGAACGTTAGGCCTTCGCGTGATCGATTGATTCGTCTGTGGAGAAACCAAAGGGTCCGAAAGAGACCAAAATACACTGGGCGGACGAGCGACGCGCAGAGAAGTAAGGATGAAGTGGGCGAGATGTGTGCAACTATAATCGAAGTTTCGTGTTGCTCTCAACCACTTGGCAAGATGATCGGAGCCGGAGAACTCAAGAGACGTAACTTCTGATGGTGAATTCTGATGTCTGATGAATCGATGAACCTCCATCGAGTTAGCAAATTGTTAAGGAGGCCGCCCTGCAGGGGCACCAGAAACATCTGAACCTCACCATGATAAATTGAAGCAATTTCTTTGTCACGTTAGAGTGTGATGAACTGGATTCACTTGCAAGCAAACTCCAGGTCAGAGTCTTGTATAACGTACATGAATGATCTTGACGGAAGCAACTTACGGCTGCCTACGGTTTGCCTACGGTACCCCTAATTGTTCACACAGCCACACTATTACGTCACGTGGCAACCTTGGTAGTACTGCGCTTGTTCTTCTTCAAGCTCAAGGTCTCTATCGAAGACGACAACCGACTACGCAAACGATTTTCTCACAAACCATCATTATTATTGTCAAACACACTCGGCCCTAACAAGCGGAGCACTATAAATTGGCATGTTATTCTACCTTTCTCTTCTCGCAGTCCTGGCATCACTGGTGATGGGTGAGTACTCGCAGCAAGTCATATTAATAAAGCTGGATAAACTCACTTGCTCCTCCCAGTCGGCTACCGCTACCGTGCAACTCTCCCTACCAGAGTTAAGGCTTTCTTCCCAAGCCTCAACCACTACACGCCGCTTGCCTCTTTTTCTGATCAGGCACGTGCAGGGCTGAGCTCTCCGATGTTCGACATTGAGTCAGCCAATATCGCTGAGGGAGATTCACGAGCGGGACTGGACGAACAGGGAACGCAGGAGGTGCTGGACATCATGCGTGCCCAACGAGTCAAGTGAGTGTTTCGTTTACGTAGCTAGCATAGCTTATCAGAACTTCATTCACACAGTTTCGACCAAGCAAGATTGATTCGTCACAACCAAATCCTTGCTCGTAACGGGATCGATCCTTCAGGTCAGCGTCAATATATTCTTGCAGTTCTCGGGAATTCATTATAATATCTTACAGGCATGCCACTTGATTCAAAGGCTGTTACAAGGCTGTGATTGATTTCTCTTTGGCTACTTTCATATGTGTTTCACGCTATCAGTACTATCATCGAACCCACCTATTTCGCTCCTTCGTCTTCTCACACTTGGCACGGACCTTATTGGATTTATATCATATACTCTTGTGTACTTATCACACTGCATGAAAAATGCTGTGGTTTTCACGGTTACTTCCCTCGCTCAGTCTCGGATATCTTCATCTTGAACTTCGATGGGAAGTCAAGGACATAAGTATCACAACAATATAACGTATCCTGCGGGCAGGGTTGGTATATGCTGGGTAAGTATCAAGGTGGGTTCACTATTGACATTGTCACGCACGCAACCCGAGGCTTGAACTTTTGACTGCCATGGCCTGACTACTAGTCTGTGGCCACTTCACTATGTCGTGCTGCGGTCTTCGAAAGTGTCAACCTTATATGCCCCCCGTCTAGGGGAGAGCTGAACTAAGATAGTCAGATTTAGGCCGAGTTTCCTCAAACGTCGATTTTTCCTTTTAAATTTACCCTACAAAAGTGCATGTTTCGGTAATCGCATACTAGTACTAATTTATATCCGCCATGCCACCTTTTCGGCGGGCATCTTCCAAGAATGAGGACGAGGCGTATACAGAGGTAAGCTCGCAAGGTGACACTAGTGAATGAATCACCCATGACGCGGCTTGCAGGGAGTCTCCCAAACGAAACGGCAAAAAGGCAACTCGGGAAGAATCATAGCCCCCTCGCGTGTCACAAGGGCATCCGTGTCACTCGACGGCCTGCTAGATCTGTTTCAAACTGGAATAGAAAGCCGTACTACGTCTGATGACCCAGCAAACGACCTGGAGGAAGCCAGTTATTTTGAACGTTTTGTTGGTTCCGTGCTGCCAGAGTGTTTGGAAGTGCGCTGCCGGGTACAAGACAGCGATTGCAGGACGGACAGCTTTGTATGGATAGCATTTTGATGCGGGCAACGAAGCTAACTGAAGGCAGGGCACTCTTCTTCGACCTTTGTCTCGTTACGAGGTGTCGGCTGCAATAAAGTATGCGTCCGCGTTTGGTGCGGCGGCTCTTCCTTCGCCAGCACAGGCAGCTATATTGAGAAAGTTGCAACTCCGTCGGGTAAGCAATCATGGTCTAGACATGATCGAGAGACTAGAAGTTAATTTACGTGGCAGGAAAGGCATAGAACAGATATCCAGGGGCTAGACTTTGTCAATCACAATTCTTTGACCTCCGTGCCCCCTCAATTACCGCCTCAGCCGCCACAATCAGGCGTTTTTGACTCACTAAGATCTATTCGAACGACGCCTTACGAAACGTCTTTCTTATCACGCTTATGTGGGCGCAGACCACCCACAGACTCAGGGCTAGTTGCGGTAGATTGGGAAACCAGATCTCCTTGGATGGAATTGATGACTGATGTGCGAGAACACTACTCATATGCGCAGTAGGGGTCTCGTTCACTCGAATGACTGCGTTTCTCACCTCATCATCAGCCCTGCATCATCTCAATCACATGAAGTCTCGGTTCCAATCCGTTATGTCTCTCTGCAGCCGTCCCACCTTCAACAGGTACATGAATTATTAGCTAGAGTATTTTGGGATGGAATTAATGGTTTGTTGTATCCTCTCATGTTCATGAGTTAATCTCTCATGTAATTCACAGTCAGCGACTTGCTTCAGTCTTCCCCCGAGCGTTGCTCGGTGATCGCCATGTATGGCAAAATTGTCGTCGGCGCAGCTCTTTTGAGCTCGCCTCAGGAAACATACATCACATACCTAGCCGTCAGAGCAGGCTGGCATAATTGTCAAATAGCAACGTGTGTTGCAATCTCTCGACGTTCATGATAATAGCTCACAACCTTTATCTCTGCAGTACTATGTTATATCACCTGATTATGCTTAATCCGCACAGAGATATCACACTTCACGTAGCTGCTAATAATCCAGCGATGGTGCGCCTTTTATTAGTGATCGGTGTTGGCATACTCTTCTAAAATTTGTCTAGTTGCTGTACAACAGATTTGGGTTCAAGGCCGAGGAGTTTATCACAGGGTTCTACGAAGATTATCTGGACTCTCAGTCGAGGGCGTCTATGAATGCATTCAGATTACGTCTTCGACGATGATAAAACGATCTTCGAATTGGCAGTGATATAATCACCAGAGCGACATGGATTTGCCTATCCAGTGCTCCCTCGGCGCTATGCCCGCCAAAGTCAAGGTGTCAGACTACACCCGGCGCGTTAATCGCGATGCTCCATCTTCAGGGGGAAAGCACAACCGCAATGCTAGGCAGTCAACGATAGCACACTAATCCGAATGTCATGAGTGCTATGTTTGCATGTTCATGTTCCGATTCTGCGATCTGAAGCGTCTCGTGCCATCAGGGGAGGGAAATGAAATTTAATGGTTAGGAAGCATCGTGAGGACACTCCAGACTGCAGGATGTATCTCCAGCGCCTTCAGCCCATGTCATGATCGTTGATAAAGTACAGCTAGCAATATGGATGCAACACAGTCTAGTGATCTCCTGCCTCTATTGTACACAGAGCTCTTTCCAGCAGCGTCGGTTTACTACCTGTTGGACAGCCGAGTTGTTGTGGTGTACCGTGTCATTAATAATTGAAGTCTCAACTTTTAGGGTTGAGGGAGATAAGTAGACTCGTAACCAGTCTGACTATATACGTCAATTTGGTAACCGTGGTAGTATTAGGCCAGGCTGGTCACGAGCCTAACAACAGTATATGAAAGGTGCCGGTGACTGACTGAACCCTGCCAGATTCACGTTGCTGATCGTTGTCCACTTGACTATCCTTGTAAGTAATGGTAGCCACTGATCTCCTCTCTTGACGAGTTCGTGCCATGCTTTTGACCACCTTGTCACAATGGACAGAGGTGCACACACAAGTTGTTTCAACAATCATTAATGATTCCTCGTTTACAGGTTAGACTCATGCGAGGGGCTTGACAAGGGTCCTCTTTTGCGTTTCTCGCTCCCTTCTATTTGTTGCATCTGCTATCTAGCATATGTAAGTACAGAATGTTTGATCCTGCGAAAGTAATTCGTATCTACCCCATGTGCGTGTTCCACCTGAGCTCCATATGCGACCTGCTCTTTCTCCTAACTATATTCCTTTTTTTCAGCTAGAGTATTTCTACGGTACCAACATCCATGTTATCGGCTGAAGCAATGTCTTTGATTTGTGCAATGATGTTATGGTCTGACGCGATCCTCTTGTATTCCCCGACATGCTGCTGCGCTAGCAAAAATGCGTCGAAAGGTTGCCCGAGGCGAACCAGTAACCGCAACGCTCGTGAGCGAGGTTCCTCTTCTACAGGTAAACCGCCAGGTGACTTGTCAGAGTCGCCCATCTGGGAGTCGTCCGTCGAAGATTCGGGCTCACTCCAATCTTCTATGCTCTCCGTATCGTCTGCAAAGTCAGGCTGCTCTGCAAAGTTAGGTACCCCAAGGAGATACCGATCCCATGGACGGACAAGTAAGAGAGTTTGCCGAATGGGCTTTTTCCGCGAGAACTGAACTAGGGTTTCTTCAGTGACGATCAGCAGGTCGTGAAGCCCGTCTGCCTTGATTCTATATGTGATGGGAGTCTCCTGCGCTAGACCGCGCCTCCGTCTGACTTCTGTGACACGGAATGAAATGCAAGGTAGATGCAGTCTGCAGTTCGCAAAGCGAGGAGCTCTCAGATGTTCAAGCTGGTCATAAAATTTCAATGCTAGATCTGTAGGCACGTTTTGTTTTTGTTGCAGCGAAGAGACTTGTGTGTGAATATAATCTTCAGACAAAGATGGAAGGGTGCGTGGAGGAGTGGTGTAAGACGTGATATGGGCTGGAAGACAGCTATTGAACTCGGAAGGTTGTCCGATCCAGTCGAGGACAGTGATGTCGCCCGACCGGGCCACGATCTCCTGCAGGAGCCGCCCGAGCGCGTTCTGCTTCTTCTCGCCATAAATGACAGGTAGCGTGATGCCGAAAATGCCAAATAATGAGTACGCGACGTCTTCCTGCACAGTGGTGATGCGCTTCGATGCCCATTGCAGTTTCTCTCGGGCGCCGCTCATACCTGGACGAAAAGAGTTCAGGGCTCGAGCATCTATGCCCGTCGCATCCTCCAACTCCTTCATGATTGCTGAGGACTCTTTGTGGTTAGGAGAGCGATCGTCGAGATATAACGACCAATCCTTCTGATAGAATATGACAACTTTCGGAGCGACCAATTCTTGGAAAGTCCATCCTCGTTCGTTCCAAACACTCCCCGCCAGTGCACCGGGATGGGATGAAGGGAGGACATCGCTTAGGTAGACGATGGTGAGCGCTGAGTGGCGGTACCAGACAAACATGGAGTTGACTGATTCTTGAAGCTCTGTATTGCTCTTCTTGTCGATGCAGCATGTATCCATCCATGCCCAGTTATATCCAGCATCGCGAGCGACTTTGCAAAACGACTGCAGTTTCGCAATGCCGCTAGGTCCCCTCAACTCGCGCACATCTTTATCCTGGATGTCGTGCAGAAGCGCCTCCGTCTCTTCCCATCTGTGTGATAGCAGAACGCAGCGAAAATACATCACTACCACTTCATTGATGCGGTCCATTTGGAGATCTGAATGCTTTGTTGTGAGTGACAAAAGCTCCTTGTACTCTGGACTTGTTTTGAAAAAGTTTAGCTGTGTCGCTCTATCGCACAAACGACCCGCGGAGGTATTAAGTAGACGTAGCGGGGCATATTCGAGTTCATCCAGCACGGCCTTTCGAATGGTATCTTCTGCCTCGGATGGAGAGATGTACTGCTGACGCAGATCTGCAGAACGAGATTGGCATTTCGAGATTTTGTAGGAATGTTGCGCAGCTTACCTCGTATCTGCGGGTCGGGAGAATCGTCCAATTTCGACAACATGATTTTGAAGGCCTCGATGGCTTCGTCGTAACGTTTCGCGCCACGCAGCGCCGTATGCGTCAACTGGTATCCAATGTGAGACGAAGGATTGAGTTCAGTGACCTGTGCATCGCCGAAGTCAGCATGGGCTGCGAAAACATAGATGTCATCGCACCTTTTGCGCGTCGAGGAGCGCTGCCTCCCATAGCATTTTCCCCAACTTTGCCTTGCTGCGATTTGCAAAGACAATATCGGATGTATAATCCAGGTTGTTCACAGCCGGGTATTCGCTCGCAGTTGGACTCTCGCACAGGTCTGGAGCAGTGAAATACGTAGTGGACATGATGTCGTCCGAGTCTAGCTCGCACTCGTCTAGCTCGCACTCATCCTCCTGCGCCAGGTTTACAAGAACCTTTAATATATCTCGTATAGTCTCGACCTGGTCGGAAGAGGAGGTGGTATCGTCCCCTTCTTGCACATGGTCTGCAATGATGGCTGCAAGAAAGGAAGTATCGATTTGGGGGAATTCAGCCTTCGCGGCCGAGTCATGATAGATGATTCAGCACTGCAGAACAAGTGGCAAAATGGGGAAACGCACCTGTAAAGTATCATATAGGCCCATGGTGGTCCTTTGTAATGTGGCAGCACACTGAGAGCTCGCTGATTCCAATTCAAGTGAGGTGGGTCGCATATAATGATGGTGGTATTGATATAAGCCGATATCATAATTCAGACATGCGGAAAGAGCATGTTTTTCCTATAGAGCCTATTATTGGCCGAGGTTATGGCTATGGATAATTCTAATGAGAAACCCCCTAGCGCAATAATCCGAATGTCATGTGTGCATGCTATGCCCATGCTCCGATTCTGCGCTCTGAAGCATCTCGTGCCCTCAGGGGGGGAAATGAAATTAAATGGTTAGGAAACATCACGAGGACACTCTCAGACTGCAGGATGTATCTCCAGCACCTTCAGCCATGTTACGATCGTTGATGAAGTACAGCTAGCAATACGGATGCAACACAGTCTAGTGATCTCCTGCCTCTATTATGTGACAAAGCTGCTCTTTCCAGCAGCGTTGGTTCACTACCTGTCGGACAGCCAAGTTGTTGTGGTGTACCGTGTCATTAATAAGTGAAGTCTTAACTTTTAGGGTTGAGGGAGATGAGACCCTCCGTGATTTTTCATCAGGTCTCTTCATGTTGGACTCGATGGCCGGCCCGATCCTCGTGATTAATACATTTCAGGAGCATACGTCGAGGGTGTATCTGCACTTGTTTATAATTAGTCGGATGACAATCTGATTGGTGCTACACTGACAGTATATGAAAGGTGACTAACTGAACCCTGCAAGATTCACGTTGCTGATCGTTGGACACTTCCAGTTGCCGACCTATCCTTGTAAGTAATGGTAGTAGCCACTGATCTCCTGTCTTGATGAATTCGCGCCAGGCTTTTGACCACCTTGTCACAATGGACAGAGGTGCACACACAAGTTGTTTTAACAATCATTAATGATTCCTCGTTTACAGGTTAGACTCATACGAGGGGCTCGACAAGTTGCATTTCTCGCTCCCTTCCATTTGTTACGTCTGCCATCTAACGTTCATATGTAAGGAATGTTTGATCCCGTGGAAGCAATCCGCGTCTACCCCTTCCACCTGAGCTCCACATGCACTCCACATGCGACCCGCTCTTTCTCCCAACTATACTGTTTTTTTGCGGTTAGAGTATCTCTACGGTACCGACATCCATGTTATCGACCGAAGCAATGTCTTTGATTTGTGCGATGATGTTATGGTCTGACGCGATCCTCTTGTATTCTCCGACATGCTGCTGCGCTAGCAAAAATGCGTCGAAAGGTTGCCCGAGGCGAACCAGCAACCGCAACGCTCGTGAGCGAGGTTCCTCTTCTACAGGCAAACCGCCAGGTAACTCGTCAGAGTCGTCCATCTGGGAGTCCTCCGTCGAAGATTCGGGCTCACTCCAATCTTCTACGCTCTCCGTATCGTCTGCAAAGTCAGGCTGCTCTGCAAAGTTAGGTACCCCGAGGAGATACCGATCCCATGGACGGACAATTAAGAACGTCTGCCGAATGGGCTTTGCCCGCGAGAACTGAACTAGGGTCTCTTCAGTGACGATCAGCAGGTCGTGAAGCCCGTCTGCCTTGATTCTATATGCGATGGGAGTATCCTGGGCTTGACCACGCCTCCGTCTGACTTCTGTGACACGGA